AACAGCAGCGGGCCGCAAGTAGGGATGCTCTCCCCAAAACTACCGAACACATGGACTAAACATTTTTGTCGGGCAAAAAAACCCCACGCGTGTCTCCACTTGGCCCCCTGGCATTTGTCTTTCCTGCACCCTGCCCCTTGGTGTCTTCTCCATTCTCCTGACCTGCCCCCCCCTCCCCTCAGCACAAGCCTCTTCCCCTCCCCTACCTGGCTTCTGCCTTCCAGTTTGTGGGGCTGCCGAAGCCTTTTTGAATCCGGCGGTTGCCGGCCGTGACATCACAACGCCACACCACGCCAGCATCCTGGCGTCTGCCAGTGTCCCGCCCTCTGGCTCGCGCCCTGCCTTCTCGCACTGGAGCTGCATGCAGGCAGCCCAGAGGTAAGAATCGTTGCATTTCCCTGTCCCCGGTGGCACTCCACTCCTCTGCCCGGATGGCAGATCGGATGGGGCCACGCTGTCCTTGGGCTTCATGTTGTGCAGGCCTGCTACATCCTGATTAATGTAAAGGCTAATAATAAAACTCTTTAGCTATACTGAAGCTCAGTTTCATTTCTGGAAGTCGAAATTCAGAATGCACTGAAGGATCATCATCCATTTCCCTTTACAACTGAATGGCTACAGAAGATGTTGCTAACTTGTATTGAAGGAGAGGGTATGGTCCATGTTTCCTCCCTAACTATGTTTTAGATTGAAAAGGTATTAACAATCACTACTGTTAGCACCCAGCCACATAATTTATAACTCCATATTACACTATTAGGGCTATCAAGCAATTAAAAAAAAAATCATGCTTAATCATGTGATTAATTATTCTGTTAAATGATAATAGAATACTGTATATTTAAATATTTTGGATGCTTTCTACATTTTCAAATAGGTCGATTTCAGTTACAGCACAGAAGTGTACAGTGCTCATTTATATTTGTTTTTTATTGCAAATATTTGCACTGTAAAAAACAAAAGAAATATAGCATTTTTAATTCAGCTAAGACAAGTACTGTACTGTGATCTCATTAGCATGAAAGTTAATCTTACAAATGTAAAATTATGTAAAAAAACACATTCAAAAATAAAACCATGTAAAACTTTACAGCCTACAATTTCACTAAGTCCTACTTCTTGTTCAGCCAGTTGCTGCGACAAACAAGTTTGTTTACATTTTCAGTAGATAATGTTGACCACTTTTTGTTTACAAGTCATCTTAAGTATGCTCGTTCATTATGTCTTCACTAGGAGGGTGGTGAAGCACTGGAATGGGTTACCTAAGAAGGTGGTGGATTCTCCATCCCTGGAGGTTTTTAAGTCCCAGCTTGACAAAGCTCTGGCTGGGACGATTTAGTTGGGGCTGGTCCTGCTTTAGGCTGGGGGTTGGACTTGATGGCCTCCTAAGGTCTCTACCAACCCCATGATTCTATGATTCAAGCACCATTCCAGAGGGCATGCATCCATGTTGATGATGGTGTCTGCATGATAACAATCCAAAGTAGAACAGACTGGCACATGTTCATTTTCATCATCAGACTCAGATGTCACTAGCAGAAACTTCATTTTCTTTTTTGGCGGTTTAAGTTCTATAGTTTCTGCATGGGAGGGCTGCTCTTTTAAGACTTCTGCAAGCATGCTCCACACACATTGTCCCTCTCAGATTCTGGAAGGCACTTCAGATTCTTAAAGTTTGGGATTGAATGTTATTGCTATCTTGAGAAATCTCACATTGGTACCTTCTTTGCATTTTGTCAAATCTGCAGGGAAAGTGTTCTTGAAATGAACATGTGCTAGGTTGTCATCTCAGACGGCTTTAACATGAAATGTATGGCAAAATGTGGATAAAACAGAGAAGGTGACCCATACTTCTCCCTCAAGAAACATAGGAACAGCCATACTGGGTCAGACCAAAGGTCCATCTAGCCCAGTGTCCTGCCTTCTGACAGTGGCCAATTCCATGTGCACCAGAGGGAATGAGCAGAACAGATAATCATCAAGTGATCTTTCCTCTGTCACCCATTCCTGGTTTTCAAAAAACAGAGTCTAGGGACGCCATTCCTGAGTTCACTCAGCAAATTAACAAATGCATTATAGTTTTGACAAGTATCATCAGCATGGAAGCGTGTCCCCTGGAATGGTGGCCAAAGCAGGAATCTCACTTGAAAGCAAGGTATTTACATGTTGGATATGCTATGAATATTTAACATACCTGGCATGTAAATAGCCATGGTAGATAAGAATTGGGCAGCATTATCTCCTGCAAATGTAAACCAAGTTGTTTGAACAACTGGCTGAATAAGAACTGGGATTTAGTGAACTCTAAAGTTTTATGTTGTTTTGGTTTTGAGTGCATTTATGAACTAAAACATTTCTGAATTTGTAAGTTGCACTTCTATGTTAAAATATTGTATTACAGCACTTGTATGAGGTGAATTTAGAAATATTGTTTCCTTGGTTTATCATATTTACAGTGCAAATATTTGTATTAAAATAATAATATAACGTGAGCACTATACACATTGCATTTTGTGTTTGAAGTGAAATAATTGTATTTAAATATGTAACACATCTGAAATATTTAATATATTTCAATTATTATTTTATTGTTAAACAATGAGATTTAAACTGTTATTAATTGTGATTAACTCAAAAACTTAATCACATGAGTTTGAAACTAATTGATAGATATTTTAATAAAACAGGCTAAGATTTAATAAAACCGGCTAAGATTTTCAAAGGTTATCTTAGCTGGCTTGATTTTCAGAAAGTGCTGAATGCTAACTACTTTCCAAGGTGCTATGGGGATAGGGTTTGCGTGTCCTATTTACTATTTATATAAACATGCTTGATGTATGATTCATGTGTTTTCCCAAATTAATGCTGTTTTCTTTTTCCACGTAGATGTCTTCATGATTTGAATATTGTAGGTTAGAATGCTGTTGGCTTGACTTGACAAAATTGCAAAAGAGAAATAAATATATAGTTCTTGAAAGCTGATGTGGACAAAGATAGGGATGAACAGGTGATAGAACGTGGTTCTTAGTGAATTATTATTCATTTCTGGTGCAAGGAAATTATTTGGATCCCCTAATTATGATAGAAAAGCTTTAAAATATTTTAGATGAAATCTTAGCCCTACTGAAATCAATAGGAAAACTCTCACTGACTTCATCAAGGCTAGGATTTCACCTTTGCCTGGATTAAGCTGTAGTAAATGAAAATAACATAAGAACAGCCATACTGGGTCAGACCAAAGGTCCATCTAGCCCAGTACCCTGACTTCCAATATTGGGCAATGCCAGAGGGAGTAAACAGATAATCATCAAATGATCCCTCTCCTGTCATCCATTTCCAGCCTCTGACAAACAGATGCTAGGGGCAGCATTCCTACCCATCCTGGCTAATAGCCATTGATGCACCTAACGTCCATGAATGTATCTAGTTCTTTTTTGAACCCTGTTTGTCTTGGTCTTCACAACATCCTCTGGCAAGTAGTTCCACAGATTTACTGTATGCTGTATGAAATAAAACTTTATTTTGTTTGTTTTAAACCTGCTACTTATTATTTTTATTTGATGACCCCTAGTTCTTATGTTATGGGAACAAGTAAATAACTTTTCCTTATTTACTTTCTCCATGCCTGTAATGATTTTATAGACCTCTGTCATATCCCATTATTTTCCTCTTTTCTAAGCTGAAAAGTCCCAGTCTTTAAATCTCTCTTCATATGGAACCCGTTCCAAACCCCTAATCATTTTTGTTGCCCTTTTCTGAACCTTTTCCAATGACCAGATGTCTTTTTTTTAAAGATGAAGTGACCACATCTGTATGCAGTATTCAAGAAGGGGGTTTATATGGAGGCAATAAAATATCTCTGTCTTACTCTCTATCCCCCTTTTTAATGATTCTAATATTCTGTTTTTTTTTTTTTTGTCTTCTGCTGCACATTGAGTGGATGTTTTCAGAGAACTATCCACAGTGACTCCAAGATCTCTCTCTTCAGTAGTTATAGCTAATTAGTCCTCCTCATATTGTATGTGTAGTTGGGATTATTTTTTCCAATGTGCATTACTTTGTATTTATCAACATTACAATTTATTTGCCATTTTTGTTGCCCAATCACCTAGTTTTGTGAGATCTTTTTGAAGCTCTTCACAGTCTGCTTTGGTCTTAACTATCTTGAGCAGTTTGGTATCGGCTGCAAATGTTGTGACCAGCTTACTCCTTTCTCCAGATAATTTATAAATAGGTTATATAGGTTTGGTCCCAGTAGGGACCCTTCGGGGCACCACTAGTTACTTGTCTCCATTTTGAAAACTGACCATTTATTCTTACCCATTCCTGCGCTTTCCTGCCGTTTAACCAGTTATCAATCTGGTTGATAACCTTCTCTCTTATCCCATGAGAACTTACTTTACTTAAGAGCCTTTGGTGAGGGACCTTGTCAAAGGCTTTCTGGAAATCTAAGTTCATTATATCCACTGGATCCCCCTTATCCACATGCTTGTTGACCCCCTCAAAGAACTTTAGTACATTAGTGCCAGTCAGCCTTCACCAAAATGTGCCTGTTTGTCCCTGTATGTCTGTCTATAAGAAGTTGAATTATGGAACATCCTGGAACTCATTAAAAATGTGAAGCTTAGACTCATCTCTTTAAGTCACCATAGCTGCACCAACCTTCTCCAGGGAGGGGCAGAAGTGTAATTGTGAGAGGGAACTAAATGTCAGAGTCCAAGTAGAAGGAAATCGACAATTAAAAGCACTTGGAAATCTATAAATCCTACTTAAAATACTGGACGTGCCTAAAGCTTTTAAATTGAGATTCTCCCTTAGGTAATACAGCTAATACCACCAAGAGAACATTAGGATACTTGATAGTCTGAGAGAGAACTGCACAGAGTTTATTCCAGAAATGTTTACCGAAATGAGTAAGAGGTAGAGAAAACTTTATCTAACAAATGAACAAAACTGAAAATGTTTAAAAAATAAGTGTGTGTTTACTGCAAAGGACTCACATTTTCCTCTTGTGACTGCATGATGATCATATTCATCAGGCCTAGGTAGATCTGAATATTTTCTTCTTGGTTTCAGTGACCTTCAGCTTCTGTGGTCAATGGAAAATTAAAGCAAAATGTCAGTTTATAACATTTACTTTGGTGTGTTGAGATTAATCCCTGTTTACATGCCTGAGTCATTCAAGTTACAATTTTCCCCTAGAAACATGCTGAAATCCCCAAAGGGCAGGATGTTGCCTGACTCCTTTTAATAGTTGTAAATAATTGTATTCGTTGCCAATTGATCAGAAGGTGATAAAGTTCATTCCCAAGAATCAGGTTTACTGGGACCCTCAGGCTGTGTGTCAAGGGCACTCGGAGTGAGGACAAAATACAGCACTAGAGATTTTTATTAAGACAAAGAATTAAGCCAGAAAAGCTTGGAGCCACATAAAAAGAGAGGAGTAGTGGACGTATTGGAGAGATCTGTTGTCACATTTTTTTCACAAGCTCTTAAAACTGAACAGTTACACTCTTCCTAGAGCACCTGGTGGTAAGAGACCAAGGGCCAGCTATGGCTTGCAAATGGACCTGATGGTCAAGGTTCTTCAATGTCCAAATTTGATAGTAAAGCTGGAAGGTCAAATGATGGAAAAACTAACAAGGACGGAAAGCAGCTCTAAGCTAAAACTAAAAATTAACTCTCCACATGGTGGTTTGCCCTATTAGAGGACCTGAGCACCATCATGAATATTCATGCTAATACTCAGTTTTCCATGTCAAAACTGGACTTCCTTACCCACATACAATTGAGGTATTCTTATTCCATAGGTTAACAGATTAATAAATATTAATACCACTTAGCTCATTAGCATCTCCATCACTTCTTGCTTAAAACAGTTTAGTTATTCCATGTTCCTGAGGTTGCTATTTACTGATACTTTCCAACTCCTGCCATTGAGCAAGCTAGTTCGAATTCCCCTAAAGGTAAGGGTAGCTGTCAGAGTATTTATCTGTGTCAGAGGTTACAGGCTTGCTATACTTGACTATACTCATGCTTATTTGCTTAAGCTAAGGTCTTACAGGATATAGGTCTGTAGGTTCCTTGCATTACAGCTGAGTATAATCAAGACTATGCTAGTCTTATGGGCAGGCCCAGCCAAAGAGTTTCCAGGGCCCAAGGTGGCATGTTGAGGTTGGCTGCACTGCATGGCCAAGCGGCTCCCAGCCAGAGCAGCAAGCGAGCAGCCAGGTGGGCGGGAGCTGGTGGGTGCTGGGCAGCGCGGGGACCTGAAGTCGCGGGGCCCAAAGCAACTGCCTTGCTCATCTTGCCCTAAGGCTGGGCCTGCTTATGGGCTACAACAGGGATGGACAATAAGCCAGAGGCAGTTCACCAGGATTAGCCTGTGGTGGGCTGCCAGAGCTTTGTTTACCTGCACGTATTCAGTTATGGTCACTTGCAGCTCTTGTTGCCTTTGGATTGCCGTTCCTGGTCAATGAGAGCTGCGGGAAGCTGTGTCCCAGCCCAGTAGTTAAAGTGCCAGGCTAAACCTGGCAAACCATGTCGGGCCTGTGGGGCACTAGCTAACTAAATTTAATAAATTTTCTTGTAGAACTTTAATATTCTTCTCTTGAAAATAATTTGTTTAAGGAGAACTATTTTCTGAACTGCATATACATAGCAGTGTATGACATCCTCCTAATAAATTAGGTGTTTTAGCTAGCTTAGCTGTCTCTTGTAGAGATATGGACCTACACAAGAGAAAGACAGAATCTCTATAGCGAGACATGAGAGAGAGTGAGCCAGACATAAAAAAAAAAAAAAAAGAGTAGTCCTATGTCACCTTAGACTAGACTCATATAAATATATTGGATCACGAGCTTTCGTGGACAAAACCCACTTCATCAGATGAGTTGGAGTGGCCTCATCTGATAAAGTGGGGTTTTCCCATGAAAGCTCATGATCCTATACATATATGTCTCTCTAATGTGCCACAGAACTACTCATAGTTTTAAAAATTACAGAATAGCATGCCTACCCCTCTGAGACTTTTTACCAAGACATACAGTTCTTTGATCTGCATTAGAAGATTTTTTTTCACTGTCACACTAATGTGTCTGAACTAATGACAATTTCCATGTGACATACGTGAGACAAGAGTTGAAGCAGATGAGAACAGAAAGAAGAGCTTGCTAAATGTGGTGACTGTCATAACAGTCACATGAGGATGTAGCATGTGGTGACCCTTGGTCCAAGAGTTGAAGTGTATATTTTGGAAATTAAATTTGTTTAATAATTTTTAAATTTTTTTACTTTTATTTCATAATGTCATGAAGCATTGTAAACATAAATATAGGCATTACAAAAATAAGATTTAATGGAATTCAGTAATATTTATGCAGGTACAGTAGACTTCTGATAATCTGGAACCTATTGGACCTAGGTGGTGCCGGATTATCAAATATGCCGGACTATCAGGAGGTACTATAAGATGGTTATACATATATATACTGTATACATTATATACTGTATATAAAGTGTTCTTAACCCTTTTTATTGTACATACTGTATACAGTATACTGTAATGTTTTAGTTTTTTAAAGCCTTTTTTACCCTTTTTGCTCAGTTCAGCTGCTGCCGCTGTTACCTTGTGACTCAGTTTTAGCTGAAGCTCACTCACTAGGCTCTTGCCATTTTGATGCCGGACTATCAGGAGTGCCGGACTATTGGATGCCGGACTATTGGAGTTTTACTATATTACCATATCTGTCACAGGAATAACAAACTTACTTCCATTCTTTTTGCTGTGAAATGTTATTTAACTCATCTCACATATTTGTTTCCTGCCTGCACAGCAAGGCTAAAATCTTGGAAGCGTCTTTCTTTAGAGGCTGTTTCCTTTTTTGATACATTTATAGTGGTCCTGGTCTCTGATACACAAGAAGGTGAGGATTGAAGTTCCTCCTATTTTTTTTTTCTTCTTGGTACCTCTGAAGGAACTTGTACAATGATTCTGAATCAGGGGTACACGTCTTCCTGAGGATACACAGAGATCTTTCTGGGGGTACATCAACTTATCTAGATTCCTTCAGGGCTGGCCTTGCCATGAGGCGAACTGAGGTGGCCGCCTCAGGTGCCAGACTGTGGGGGGGTGCCACTAGGACCCAGAGTGTAGAAAATTGTGTCTGCTGCTGGTTCATATGTAATTCCCTCTGATCTAGAGAGGGGACAGCATTTGAGCTCCTCACCTCAGGTGCCAAAATGTTGTGGGCCAGCCCTGGATATCTGCCTAGTTTTACAAAAAGCTGCATAGAAAGCACTAGCAAAGTTAGTACAAATTAAAATTTCATATAGACAATGATTTTTATACTGCTCAATATAAGCTGAAATGTAGCACTATATTTGTATCCCAACTGATTTTATAATTATATGGTAAAAATGAGAAAGGCAGCAATCTTTCAGTAAGAGTGTGCTGTGATACATTTATATTTTTGTCTGATTTTATAAGCAAGTATACTTCAAATGAGGTTAAACCTTGAGGTACACAAGATAAATCAGATTCTGGAAGGGGGCACGGTAGTCTGGAAAGGTTAAGAGTTGTCTACCTAGTAGATTCCTTTCCTTCCCCATAGCAAGTAATTTTTATATTAATCTTAAACAATTTAGCTTTTCCTAAAATTCTACAGCATCTGGATTTTCCATTCCTTTTGGAATTCCCCCATTATATATCCCTGGGAAAGTTATTGTTTTATAAAGAAAAATACTTCTCTGCAGTGTATTGCATTTAAGTAGGCCTTTGTTTTGAGTAGAACTAAGTAACATTTATTTTTAACAAAAGTTTTTCAGGGGAAAAAAAGGAAAAATCAGCAGCACTGAAACATTTCACAAATTTGTTGATTTTGCTAAATTGGTTGCAACCTCATTCCCCAAAATCTGGCCCTACATCTAAGAATGAAAATACTTCATTTTGACATTTAGAAAAGAAATATTTTTTTTGTTTTGCATCTGAAGGTTATATGAAATTTCCTTCAGCTAAGTCTTGGGTTCCAGAATAGCTAAAAAATCTGGGCAGCATACATATTGCTCTAACCTCTACTGCTGGGTGAGGAATGAGCCCCTGCATAGCCCATTAGAGGAGGCACAAAGCTGGCAAAATACCAACTTTGCCCTGTCCTTCCCTCCCTTCAGACTCAAGTTAGGCCAAGCTCTGGCACAGAGATGAATGTGGACCTGAAACTTAGCATTCATAGGAAACAGACGTGATACAAATATAAGCGGGGGAATGATCCCGCTATTGTGGGGAACTTTCTTGGCTTCTATACCACCCCGGTGAAATGAACCAGCGAAAGGATCTGAGTCCCCGCTCCCACTTCCTTTACCCCACGGCTCCCTGATCCTGAGGGCTCCCCCTTCACTCTCCTGAGTAGCAGAGCCCTTGAAACCCCAACAAGGCTGGGCCCAGGTTTCCTGGGGCTTAATCCCCGACCTTGTAGTCACTAGGGGCAGGAGTTAGGGTGTCCCCACTCCAAGGTGCTCTCTTTACACTGCAGGCCTTCTTGGCCCAGTGATCACTTCATAAGGTTCAAAGCAAATACAATTTATTAAACATCAACTGATTAAAGAGAATAGAATAAGGAAAAAATGAGAATGGTTAAATGAGAACACACAGCCCTGCTCTGTAGCACAGGGACATCAACACAGCAGTCTGCAGAGTGTAAGAACAGTTCACAGTCTGTTCCTTAGAAGCCCTGGATGTGCTGCAAGGGGCTGCAGGCTGGACACGCTTGCACTGGCAGTGACCACACAGCCTCAGTCTCTAAGTGGCCAGACCCCTCTCCCAGTCCAGAGCCTTTCCCCACACTTTGCAGGTCCCAGTAGCTCACCACATCCAGCTGCAGGCTGTGCTGCTTGGCCAGTTCCAGCTCCTTGTGTTGCTTCTCTGTTCCTTTTGGCTTTCTGAGCACTGCCAGTCTGCTGCTCAACACAGGGTCTGCACTCCTTGAGGTGTGTATGCCTGGCTCTGCTGTTGCAAGACTGTCTCTCCACACAGCTTGCACTGCTTGGCCTGTCTGTGTCTGGTTCTGTCGCTGCAGGACTTCTTCTTGTACTCCTCTTTCAGATCTCTGTCTTTGCAGGACCTCTCCTGCACACAGCTCGCTCTGCTCTTTCAGCTCCCTGTTTGCTCAGAGACAGAGCCAGAACAATCCCCACTTACAACCTGTCAGTCAGGCTGAGCTGGAGTGTTGGCTGCTTTCCATTGTCTCTGGGGTCTGTCAGTCTCATGAACCCTTCCCCTTCTGAAGCTGGCAAACCAAAAAACTCCCACAGAGTTTTAGTAAGGGGTAACAGTCCCCTTACACAAACTTATCATTCATAGGAAATAGACGTGACGCAATCCTATTGAGTGCTTTGCTATAGTAGGCTGAAGGAGACTTATCTTTAGTGATAAGGGCAGGTGTGATGCAATTCCCCTTTTAATGAATTATATCTCGAATATGATGATATGTAACCTCATGAACTGTGGGGCACTTTTTTTATTAATGGAATTGTATACATGAAACAGTTTTAACCACTTTTCGTTAGTAACCCGTTAAGAATTGTCTTTGAATAATCTGTTATTGTAACTTTTTATATCTGTTATCACAGAAACCCCATTTTACACTGTTAATACATTGTAACGAAAGTGACTTCATAATATAACTGAAACCCCATTTTAAACGTTGTCTAAAGTTAGGTGTCTATAATCTCCTTTAAAAGTGTGAATGTGGGTGAGTATGAAATGAGATCAGTCTCAGACCCCAGCCTGCCTCTGGCTACATCTAGACTACAGTGCTTTATCAGAAAAAGGTTCGCACATTGCGCTATGCAATCTTCGTACCTTTCTCCGATAGTTTTGTCGGAAGAGACTTTTCTGAAATTTGGCCCAGCTGCACTGGGCCAAATTTCAGAAAATCCTCCACTTTTGGAAGATCCCTTCTTCCTCATGGGAGGAGGCAGAGAGGGCTTCCAAAAGTGCATCTGCTCTTCTGGAAAAAAAAAAAAAAAAAAAAAGCAGAAGAGCAGACACGTTCCCTGGATGCAGCGGAGTTTTTCTGGGATACCCTGTAGTCTAGACATAGCCTCAGTGACCAGCTACCAGCCCTACTGAGCACTGGCCTTCCTGGCTCTTCCCACTGCAGCCCTGCTGAGCTGTGCATCAGGCTCCCCTGGTCAGCCCAGCTGCGTCATGCATGCTGCCCCTCCCCGCCCCCCTCTCGCAGCTCAGCTGAGCCACATGCCAGCCTTCCTAGCTTCTGCCCCTCCCCCGCACCCAGCTGAGCTGTGCGCCAGGCTCCCTCCCCACCGCATTGTACCGAACTCCCAGCCCCCCTACTCCCTGCATCACACCGGGAGTCTCTGATCCTGGAACGTGTTGCCAGACCAAACAGTTCTGGGTTATAGAGGTGTGACCTGTAGTTCTACTTCTCTAAGTGCAACATTGGTTCCTTAGAAATCGAGGGGTTCTGACTCTCTACTACTTGGAAAATCACTGCTAACTTGTCCAGCAAAGGCCCTCACTTTCAATCTTTCTGGTTTCAGGCTGAACTGGCACCCTGGGAGCTCATGGAAGAGACCTGGCCGACCTGTTAAGCTGTAAAGAATGAATGAAACAGGCTAGGGGGGAGAGAAGATGGAAGAGGGAAAAAAAGAAAGAAAAGAGAAGAAATAGATGTGAAAATAAAGTGCATGGGGTGAACAGAAGAGTAGGTAAAAAAAGGGGGAGGCAGATCTCAAGGGTAAAGGTTCAGCAAGCCACTGTAATTGTAACACACAAATGTCCCAAGTGAACAATATGTCCCAATCATCATCTTCCTTGAGACAGAGGCTTCTGCTCTCTTCTCCGCAAACACGCAATCCTTCACAACCCCTAAGCACGTGTTACACAATTTGAATGTTGCAATTTGAAGGCTGGGCTTTTTCTGTTTGCTGATTGGTTGTTTGCTCCTTCCCACCCTGCCTCCCATTCATTCTCCTCTCCATTTATCATTGATACTCCTCTCCTTAGCAGTCCTTCCATAGCCAGCCTTACTCCTGCCCCTTCTTTCTTAACCCAACTTCCTCCTTTCTTAATCTCTTTATCATGCTTCTTCCCACACCCTTGCTTCTCTTTTCTCCTACCACCCCCACTCATTTCATCCCCGGCCCCATTATAGAAAACACAAACAGATAACTAAAAGAGAAGCAAAACTAATCAGATCATGATTCCAGTCTTTGCCCTGACCGTCATGCTTAGAAAATCCATTTCTCCACCTTATCTGTTTGAGAGAAAGCTGTTCAGGGAAGGGATGGTCTTTCACTCTCTGCTTGTACACCATGCTGTGCTAAGAGATTTTGTTCCTGCCCGAGGACTCTGGGTACTAGGACATGTTAAATAATAATTAATGAAGCGCTGCACATACGGAAGAGGCAGGTGGGTTGACGACAAGGACTGACATTTGGGAACATATACAGCCATTAATGAAAGGCTTTTACAGAGATTTTTAGTACTATTGTGAAGGCATTAGCTGCTTAAGACTGCCATTAAATTCCATGAGTTACACATTAACATACGAGAAATGATCAGAGCTGCAGGTATTAGACTGTTGGAGAATTCCACGCCTAAGTGAGTTTAATGAATGTTAGCTGTAGACTGAAGTAAACACCTAGGGCCAGATGCCCATTTATACAAGCTGAGGCACTTGCTCATAGTACAGGGGTATTCTGGGCTCTCTTTGATGTATTGCAGTGTCATGTCTAGCCATTGTTACTAACTGGTGCTTTGTTAAAAAGCAAGCCATATAGGAGATAATAGAAACATGGGGTGAAGACTGACACCAGTGAACCCTTTCATATCTTTTTGTAGGAATAATTGTTTCTATTTTTCACAGCCATAGAGAACTCCAGACACAATGCAAGGTGCCAAGGAGAGAGTTAGGAAGCTGTGGGGCTTCTCACATCTTGCTGTGACAAGAGGAAGCTCATAGAGCTGACTCAGCATACTCCTATACTGCAGAAACTTCCCAAACAGCCAAAGAGTCCCCTGCATGGCTAATTAGGAACAGGAAATAAAAGGAAGTGACAAGGTTAGTTACAGGCCTCTCTTAGCCACATGGCTTCATTGCTATCATTCAGGTTAGCCAGATCAAAGCTAGTTTGGGTATGCAGCCTATACACACTGCATTCTGACCTTTGGCTGCATCATATACATACCCAAGAAGAAGCAAAGAGTTTTGTTACTCACGCTGAGAGTAACAAAACAGACATAGACGCAAAATGGCTATCAACAGAAGACAGCTGAGACTTGAGTATCACCAAGAACAATGGGAGATAGCAGCCATTTTGAAAGAGGCACATTTTTGTGGAATTCTTTGTAGTAAACCATTTCATTAGACAGATCAATGCAAGAAAATATTTCAGTTATGAAGCATAACTGGGAAGAATTACCATTAAAACTTAGTGTAGCCTACATATAAGATTTCAGTGATTTAAGATTTCATTTAACTATATGGAAACTTTGAAGAAATTGGTATTCAGTTACTGAGATTATTAGAGGCAGAAAAAGGTCGGACTTTGGGCACCGCTTCTTAAAGGACCAATTTTAAATTAATTGTAATCCCTAAACTAATGAATTTGTAAACTCTGAGCAAATTCAAATTATTCAAAGAATAAGTGCTGGGATTTTGGGGGGAGGGTATGCTGGATTTGTCATATACAGCAGAGTTTGGAATCCCTCCTTTGAGAGAAAAAAACCAACACCACCTTAACCACTGAGGTGTTATTGCTACCTCATAATGTTTGCTATCTTTATGTATTAAATGTCTCTTATTTTTTCTCTTAAAAACTGTATTTGCAAAAGTTGAGTTTTTGAGTTAATTGGCCCGAGTCTCCTCAAGTAACTAGATAGCTTGGCACACCATCCCAAATAGTTTTGAGACAGCAGCAATCTCTCACCATATATGGTGTAGATAATATCATTATAACATTGTTAATGCTTGTTCAATATTTGACGTTTCACACAGCAACTTTATAATGATACCATTGTGGTTATTCACTGCCAAAAAAAGTACCTGTAAACCACAGGAATGGCAAGTGTTTGCAATTATAGTAAAATATTAGCAGGTATCCTGTAAAATAATAGCAACAGCAAAATTCCCCACAACCTGTTAAAAATAACACCAACAGCAACTTAAAAAGGTGTTGAATTTGCTGTGTCATGCTAAATTTATTTATTTATCTGAATAGTAAAAATGTGTCTATATAAGGCTGAAGCTACCCTACCCTATGGCAACTATTACAACAAAACTTGAGCAGCAATCTTTTTATTCTTTGATTTCCTGTCTTTCAACTCAACAGTGAGAATGGGGCTTAACAAAGTCTTTTAATAGTCTATCTTGTTCCAGCTTTGTGACTTTTCATCTTCACTGTGTCTATCTTACAAATACTTGGTCTTCCTCTATTTGTACTCTGGGGTATACCACTATATGGTATCCCTCCTGGTTCTGTTCTTGACATATGACCAATCCATCTCAGTCATCTGTCTTTAATAATCTCTAAGGGAATGTCTACACTACCACCCTAGTTCGAACTAGGGTGGTAATGTAGTCAACCGGAGTTGCAAATGAAGCCCAGGATTTGAATTTCCCGGGCTTCATTTGCATGTTGCCGGGCGCCGCCATTTTTAAATGTCCACTAGTTTGGACTCCGTGCCCTGCGGCTACACGCGGCACGAACTAGGTAGTTCGGACTAGGCTTCCTATTCCGAACTACCTGTACTCCTCGTTGGAATAACAATGTTATAATAATAACTGATGTTATTTGGAAATAACAAAGAGCGTGTCTACACTGCAAGCCTTTATTTTGAAATAATGGCAAGCTGAAGAACTTCTTACTCTGATTCCTGTA